CATCCTGGAGAACAGAGTTCCCAAACTAGAGACTGGGTAGCTGGGTGGCACCATTTTCACCGATCCCGTGCATGTGCACACGCACCTACGAGCGCCACAACACTAGACCCAGTAGGCTAGCAGTGCCATCTAGTGGAGAGCTGAGCTGTTACACTGAGCCCCACCCAACTGGGCCAACTTCACTCCTCAAGAACACAAATCACACCGGCTGCTTAGTTTATGGACTATAAAGCACTACACAGTCTGACTTCTAGTGGAAAACAAAGTAATTTCAGTCCTACTTCAATCTGTTACCAGCTCCATCTATTCAATTTCTTTTTCTCTTCTATGCTTATTTTCTTTTTCTTGAATACAGAAAGAGAAAAAATTCATTTCTATTTTCAATTTTTATTAAAAATCTTTCTTTAATTTTTATTACTATATTTTTTACTTTTGTGTAAATTTTTTCAAATTCTATTTTACTTCCATTTTATTTTAGTCTACTTCAGTGTATTCACCTTTCCAAATTTTCAAATGATTTCCTTTTTTTTTCTTTTTTTCTTTTTCATTTCTTTTCTTTTTCTTGAATGCAGAAAGAGAAAAACTTCATTTTTACTTTCAATTTCTATTAAAAATATTTTTCTTTAACTTTGTTAACTATATATTTTGCTTTTATGTAAATTTTTTCAAATTCTATTTTACTTCCATCATTTTATTTTAGTCTACTACAGGGTATTCACTTTTTCAAATTTTCAAACTATTTCTTTTTTTAATCTTTTTCCCTTTTTCATTTTTTTCTTGAATACAGAAAAATAATTCATTTTTATTTTTAATTTTTATTAAAAATATTTTCTTTAATTTTTTCCTACTATATTCTTTACTTTTGTATATATTTTTTCAAATTCTATTTTACTCACATCATTTCATTTTAGTCTACTTCAGTGTACTCAATTTTTCAAATTCTCAATTTCCTTTTTTTTTCTTTTCTCCCCCCCACCCCCAACCCTTTCAACCACTTTCAAAACCCAGACCAAAACACACCTAGGATCTAGCATCATTTATTCGATTTGTGTGTGTGTGTGTGTTTAATTTTTTAATTTTAATATTTTTTTAATTTTAATTTTTCTACATCATTAATTCCTTTATTCCCTTCAAAATGACAAAACAAAGGCATTCACCCCAAAAGAAAGAGCATGAAGAGAGGGCAGCCAGGGATTTAACCAACACAGATACAAGCAAGATGTCTGAACCAGAATTTAGAATCACAATAATAAGAATACTAGTTGGAGTAGAAAATAGATTAGAATCCCTTTCTTCAGAGATAAAAGAAGTAAAAAATAGAATGAAATTAAAAATGCTATAACTGAGCTCTAATCACGGATGGATGCAGCAGCGGCAAGGATGGATGAGGCAGAACAGAAAATCAGCGATATAGAGGACAAACTTATAGAGAATAATGAAGCAGAAAAAAGAGGGAGATTAAGGCAAAACACGATTTAAGAATTAGAGAAATCAGTGACTTATTACAAAGGAACAACCTCAGAATCATAGGGGTCCTAGAAGAGGAAGAGAGAGAAATAGGGTAGAAGGTTATGTGAGCAAATCATAGCAGAAAACTTTCCTAACCTGGGGAAAGACACAGACATCAAAATCCAGGAAGCACAGAGGACTCCCATTAGATTCAACAAAACCTGAGCATCGACAAGGTATATCATAGTCAAATTCACAAAATACTCAGGCAAGGAGAGAATCATGAAAGCAGCAAGGGAAAAA